AGGGAGAGGAAGAAAGGAGAGGAGAGGAGAGGAGGAGAGGAAGAGGGCACAGAATTGAAGCGAAAGGAATGCAGAGGGCGAGGGAGAGGAGGAGGAGAGGGAGGAGAGGGGGAGGGAGGAGGGAGGAGGAGGAGGAGAGGGAGGGAGGGAGGGGGAAGAGGGAGGGGAGGGAGGGGGGGAGGGGAGGGAGGGGAGGGAGGGAGGGAAGGGAAAGAGAAGCAGAGATTAGAATATAAAGATATAAGGGCAATGGAGGGGGAACGGGTAGAGGAGGGCGGGGGTGGGGGAGGAGGGGGCATAAACTCCTTACCCTACTAATGGTGACAAATGGTCGTTGTTGTTGCATATCAATCTTGGTAATTGCACGGTAGTTGGCTCGTTAAGTGGTCAGACCTTGAATAGTTCCTTCGTGTTATTGGATCAAATCCATTAGATTGAATAACAGTTAATAACCCCTTTTATTTAGTGTATTCCTCATACTATTATAATATGAATCTCACCCTTATGGAAATTCGTTCAGATGACTGTCTTTCTTATTTTTTGTTCTTCTTATTAAGTCTTTTGTTCTTAATATGTGAACAAAACGATCATAAAGTCACTGGGTATTTCTTTCATTGTGTTTATTCGTTTTATTGACCTTTCTTTCTGAATAACTTATTGTCTGTGATAAATCTGGCTCTTGTTTTTAGTCATCGGCTTTTTTTTACTGAATGGATAAGTAGCTATTCTCTCTTTTCTTTCATCTCTCTCCTCTTCCTCTCACATTTCTCTGTCTATTTCTCTCTATTCATTCTCTGTCTTTCATCTCTCTCTCTGCTCTCATTCTTCCTCTGTCTCTCGTTCTCTCCTTCTCTCTTTCTCGCTCATTCTCTCATCTTGCTTCCATAACTTATATCTCTCTCTCTCTCTTTTCCAGTCTCTCTTCTCCTCTCCTCTCTCTCTCTCTCATCGCTCTCTAATCCTCTCCTCTCTCTTTCTCTCTCTCTCTCACTCATTCTTTTTTCTTTTCTCTTCTTTCTCATTCTTTCTCTCTTCTCTCTCTCTCTTCATCTCCTCTCTCTCTCTTCTCTCTCTCTCTCTCTCTCTCTCTCTCTCTCTCTCTCTCTCTCTTCTCTCTTCTCTCTCTCTCTCTCTTCATATCCATTTAACGAGGCGAAGATATGATAAATCATCTGATAAATGACAGGACGGCAATGATTGATGTCAGATTGAGAAATTGACGACGATAATGATTATTTGAAATACAAAAGATGTTATTCAGACTTGTTGCATTTCGTTGCATTCACCCAGTGATGATTTACCCCTCAAGTGCTTGCAAGGTGATAGATATGACTGGGTGTGAATGAATGCATAATGAAGTAGATAGATAGAAAGATAAATAGATGGGCGTATCAGATAATTCGGTAGATAGGCAGTTAGGTAGGTAGGAAGGTAGGGAGGGAGGGAGAGGAGAGAATAGAGAGAGGAGAGAGAGAGAAGAGAGAGAGAGAGAGAGAGAGGAGAGAGAGAGAGAGAGAGAGAGAGAGAGAGAGAGAGAGAGAGAGAGAGAGAAGGAGAGAGAGGAGGAGAGAGAGAGAGAGAGAGAAGAGAGAGATGGAGGGGGGAAGAGGAGGAAAGGAAAAATTAAGTAGAAAATAGATAGACAGATGAGAGAGACAGATAGATAGGTAGGTAGATAGACAGACAGACAGACATATAGATAGATAGATAGATAGATAGATAGATAGATAGATAGATAGATAGATAGATAGATAGATAGATAGATAGATAGATAGATAGATAGATAGATAGATAGAGAAGAGAGAGAGAGAGAGAGAGAGAGAGAGAACAGGTAGGTAGGTAGACAGACAAATAGGGAAGTAGGTACATATTCAGATAATCATATTGACAGATAAATAGACAGATAGACTAATAAACAAATATGAAAAAAGACCTTAAAGATAAATAGATAGATAGATAGATAGACTAATAAACAATATGAAAAAGACCTTAAAGTTAAATAATAGATAGATAGATAGACAAATAAACAAACAGGGAAAAAAGACGTAAAGATAAATAGATAGATATGTAGACAAATAAAAACAGGGAAAAAGACGTAATGATAAATAGATAGATATGTAGACAAATGAAAAAAGCAGGGAAAAAAAGACGCAAAGATAGATAAATAGATATGTAGACAGACAAACAAATAAACAGGAAAAAAGGACCAAAAGATATTTCAACATGCCACGTCCATCATCATCACCAGCGGTTGCAATACTGCTCCATAACCTTGGCATCATTTTGTCATGGCAAGAGTTAGTGCCAGTGACAAGGCACTCATCAGCAATGACATCAAAAAGGCAGGCGAGGATGAGGGGGGATGGGGAAAGGAGAGAGGGGGGTGAGGGGGGAAGGGAGAAAGGGGGATGACGGGGTGGGGAGGGAGAGGGGGGGAGTGACGGGGGGGGAGGGAGAAAAGGGAGGGGTGATGGGTGGGGAGGAGAGAGGGAGGGTGACG